CACCCAGGTGCTCATTTTTTTTTTTTTTTTAGAGAGAGAGAGAGAGAGCATGCGCGCCAGCAAGGGAGGAACAGAGGGAGAGGGAGAGAGAGAATCTGAAGCAGACTCCACGCTGAGCGTAGAGCCTGACTCTGGGCTCAATCTCACAACCCTGAGATTGTGACCTGAGCCGAAACCAAGAGTCGGACGCTTAACCGACTGAGCCACCCAGATGCCCTGATTTATGACTGTTTTTACATTAAAGTTGCTGATTTACAATTTGGCCAACTCTTTTTTTCCCTGACAACTTTGGTTCTACCTTGTTACGTCAGTACGAGCCGTGAAATGAAGCCTGGGACCATGGAGTGTAACGCCGACTGCAGACGGGGGTGGGGAGCATCAGCTGCAGGAACTGCAGCAAACTCGGACCGTCCAGGGCATGGCACACACACCTGCTCCCATCCCCACGGGCAGGGCTACGCCACGACAAGACCAACGGTCCCATTTCTCACCTCTCACCACTGGAGCTACGGTCCACCTCACTTTGTCCGGAACGGAGGGGAACAGAACAGATGATGCGTCTTAGAAAGATTTCCAGCACAGATGGTTAAAGTTAAAATGCTTGGTGTTTGAAGGGATACAGTTCCGTTCTCTGGAAAAATACCCTACTCAAAGTATTTCTCGCGCAAAGTCCCAGATAGCAAGAACGTCACTGTCACTGAGGCTGCCTATGTGGGTGGACGGCGCGTGGGGAGCAATGTGCGTCCTGCCAAGCTCCCAGGTGTGTCACTGAAAAAAAAGAGCGGGAAGGACGGCTCTTGCCAACCTCCTGGCAAGTCTGGGCAAACTGTGGGCACTGACGACACAGCAGCCCCCTCCAACAAGCAGTGCTGAGTGCAAAGCGATCGGACTCCAACCCCGCTCCCGTGAACACAAGGCCCACGACGGCAGGGCCTCTGCCCTTTTCCAGGTGACCCGCTGGGAGCCCAAGAATCACGCCTTTGCTTGGACAAGGATCTAAAATGGAAAGACGAGGAGCACCCGGGTGGCTCAGTGGGTTAAATGTCTGACTCTTGATTTCAGCTCAGGTCATGATCTCAGGGTTGTGGGGTCGAGCCCCGTGTCGGGCTCCACGCTCTGCTTGAAATTCTCTCTCCTCTCTCTGTGCCCCTCCTTCCTGCACACGCGCTCTCTCTCTTTCTCTTTCTCTAAAATAAATATATAAATCTTTTTTAAAAAGTAAGAATAAAATGGAAAGGTGATCCCCGACTTCTGAGCCTTCAACATGTTTCCTGTGGAATGATGGTCACCTCCCAAACTCACTCAACACCCGGGAGCACCTGCTCCATGGCAGGCACTAGGAGCGGGAACGCTGAGCAAGACGGACACTGTCTCTAGCATCGGTGAGACCAGGTGTTCGCTCGGCCTGGGACTTCCTGAGAACTGGGAACAGCCACCCTGGCTCTGCTTCCAGGCTGTCTGTCCTTTGACCTGCAAGCAGATGCCTGCAGGAACCCGAAGCCTGAGGAGGTGCCCCGCAGAGAGCTGGCGGCTGGGTGAGGGGAGGATGGCAGCCGAGCTCCTGTTGACCCTGTGCCTGAGCCGTCTGGAGCTAGCGCCTTTCCTGCAGCCACGTCGGTCCCCACCCTCGTAAGGCAGGGATGGTGTTCTCTCTATGGTGAAGTCACCTGCCTCAGGCTACACGGCCTGTGACTTGGGAGGCCAGGGCAACGCCCCACAGCTGCCCGGTTCCAAGGCCGCATTGCTCCACGGAGTGTGACTTGTGTTTCGGGTTCTGGGCACAGCAGGGACTCGGGGGGGGCCCCCCTGCCGGCAGCACAGTGGCTCACCATTTCTCCTGCTCACGACTCACAGAAGGCCGGAGCAAGGGCGGGTTCTGGGAGCTGGCTCTGGAAGCTCCGTGTGCAGACAGCCTCACGCGGACACACAGGGGTCCCCCTACAGCAGCTCCAGGCAAGCTGGGGGGAGGCGCCAACCCCAAAGACTGGCTCAGGTGGGAGAGACTAGCAGGTTCCCGCAAGTCTCAGGAGCCAGAGGAGGCCCCCAAACCTGTCTTACTGGTTTCTCACCAGTACTTGGCCCACAAAGCCAACAGAGAAGGGAGGGCTGAGTGTGTTCCTGTTCCTGGGGAAGCCCTGGGCTGGCTTCGCCCTCCGTTCTGAAGGCCTGAGCAGGAGGCCAGCCACCTTGCACGCCGGTGCCCAGCACACACACACTCACGCACACTCACGCACACTCATGCACACACATGCACGCACGAACACTCAGGGCTACTGCAGGAGCAGTGGGGAGTAAGGACTCCCTGGGGCAGCGGGGCCTGCTGCCTGTGGGGACGGCCTCTGGGACCCCTCCTGCCAGGGGTGCGGGGGGAGGCTGCTTCCTCCCTGTTGCCTCCTCAACCCAGGGCACCCTCTTTGCCTCCAGGACTGCAGCTGCTCTCACTGGGAGAAGTCCGAGTATCCCTGGCAGCAGGGTCAGGGAGATAAACTGAGAGGGGCCGGAGAGGGAGGGGGTCCTGGGCAGGAGAGCTGACCTCCGACAGGTGACCCCAGGAAGGCCCCCGGCTTTCTCCAGCCACACTGCTGGTCTCTGCTCTGCCTGGCCACATCCTCTCTGTTCTTGTTGGCTCAAGGGGCTCCTTTCTCAGCCAACCTGGGTCCGCCCGCCACTCAGCTGTGGTTCTTCTGTGCCCCTCGGTAGGCAGCCTTTCCTGGTCTCCCTCACACTCAGCTGGGGGGAGACAGACACCCCACAGGCTGATGTGGGGCATTCTTCTCACTTGTCTTCCTGTGCACGCTTCTTACTCGGCCACAGGGCTCAGCGGTGGGGCGCCGAGCAAGTGACCATCTCCCAGCCTCAGACTCATCTCTGATGGACACCCTTGTCCCAACACACAGGGAGCCCGGCGAGAGGTGCGGCCCCATGAGGACACACCTGTGGATGTGAGGTGACCCCAGCTCCCTCCTGCTCCTTCCAAAGAGATGGGCCGGGGCTCTACACCAGGGCTGCAGAGGAAGAAGGGGGCTTCATCAAGCTGGATTAGGTTTTGGCGATGCATGCCGTGTTGCTCCCCCCTTCCCAGCCCTGAGTTCAACTCTCAGACACCCCGTGGTGTTTGTTGGTCACTCGGGAGCAGCGATCCCTGACGCTGGCCCTGTGCAGCTGACTGGCCGCTTACCTGTTGCAGCAGGAGGCCGGGTGGGGAGGGTGAGGGAGGCATTTCCATATGGATTCATGCTCTGAGAAGAGAACACGCCGTATTAGAGAGGAAGCGGGGTCCAAAATGGCAGGCCGAGGGTGGGGATGTACTCACCAGAAATGTGGCTCCTTCCGCAGTTACTGGGTGCCCCTGGGCATAGGTCTGTCCCTCCCGAGACTCCATCTGTCCATGGGGAGAGTGAGCGACAATCTTTCTCACCTTCCGGTCCCCTGAGGATACTCGCTAGATGCTCTTTCTACATACAAGCCTCTGCCCTGTGCGGAACTGCGTTGTTGAGGCTGATGTCCAAGAGCTGACTAATGTGTCAGAGCCTTGGACTGTTTGATGTGACTAGAATCTCCAGGCAGACGAGTTTAGTTTATCAGTCCAATCAAGAAAGGTATAATAACAAAATTGAGACTGAGGTCCTCCTTTTCTTGAGTGTTGGTTCACATCAAACACAAACCAGCTTGCTACCAGAGATGAGGTTTATCTAGAATAATGATGCCTCCCGTTGACCAAAGATGCTTTGATCTTTGATCTCAAGTGCCCTGATCATATATGGCAGACGTATTATCCCATTTTATAGATGATGATATTGAGACCCAAGTTAAGCTTCCAAATCCGCAACGGAGCTAGAACCAAGAGGTTTAGTCTCCCGATAGCATCCGAAAAGTTCTTCATTGTTTATGATGCATCATCTAATACCAAGGGAAACTAAGAAAATGTTAAGCATCTTGGATTTTTAATCACAAGTCCTGCTAATAAGGTAAGAAGAAAATGTAAAATACAGATTTATATCTTCAAATATCCTTAAGAGCAGGTCTTCATTGTCAGGAGCCCCAACCATCCCGGGTCACATGAGGAAGCAGGAGCATTCCAGGTAGACCACGTTCTGCACATGATACCAGCTGTCGGTTTCACTGATGACTCAAGGCTTATTGAGGTCTCTGTACTATTCCAGTGCCAAGATGAAACAGCAATCCTTGGTCAAGACATCTTTGCAAAAGAGGTTAGACAACTGGAACATTTCCCTTTGTGTCTCTCTCTCCATCTGGGTCCCCTGACTCGGGGTGGGCTGGGGGGCAGGTGTTTGCCCGGCTGCACTCTAGGGAAGGTGAGACTCCTCAGTCTGTCTGAGGGGCTGAACCAGAGAGACCTGGAATTTATACAATTCCTTGGGAGAGTGAAGGAGTTCATTCCATACACAGAGGCACAGGTGGGTGGAAATCCTGGGAATGTGTAGGGACCAAGAGGAGATCTGCTTGAGAAAGACACCATAGAGACTCCGGTGCAAACGTCCCTTCAGAGGCTTGGGTCTCACTTGCTAAGGACTTGGGAATAGTCCCCAAGGGGTTGAGCTCTTGGTCTAAACTCTGCTACTCAGAGCAGTGGGCAGAGATGATTTCCTTCGAGAGAACGCAGGAGCCTGGGGCCCACGCACTCCCCAGCATCCCCACAGCTCTCAGGCACGACCTCACACTCCTCCTCTGTGTCCCCATGCAGAAGCTTGAACCTGACAATGGAATGGGATCAGAGGAATCACGGAGCTCGAGGAGAGGTATTCTGAGGGGACAGGAAGCCTTTTCCTCACCCCCCGAAATCACACTTGGAATATTCGTGTCATAAACAGCACCACCGGGGGGGGGCCAGGTTCTGTGTGCGCCCAGGCCCCTTGCTTGCTCGAGGCTGCAGGCAGTGGGCCACATCTTCCACCTATAGATCTGTCGACCGCCCTGGGCTGGGGATTTAATGATGCCCATGGGTCCACCCTGGTAGAATTCCATGCAGTTCTACCACATCCATCCCCACCGGTCTGCCCTGTGGGATGAGAGCTGGGCAGTAGACTGAAAGGAGCACAGACAGGAGGGCCGGACAGTCCCCCTCTCCTCCAGGACCTGCCGTGGCCACCGAGGGAGGCTCCCTTTCCCTTCCCGCCATGGTCTGTGTGAGAAGCTTCCAAGGTGGCTTGTATCTGCCATGGGGTCCTGGGGTAGCTGACAGGCCTCTGACGGCCCCCACGCTGGCTCCCCCCAGCTTCTCCTGGGCAGGCCCTGCCACTCCAATTCCGGCATTTCTGGTCTGCCGCTTGTCTGTCCCTCCCTGGGAGGAGGATTTTGCCCAAGGACATGCGGAGGGTGGAGAGCCTTTCCCCTCCCTCTGCTCCAATTGTAGAAAAGGAGGGGGTTCCCATCCCAGGGCAAGGCTGCCACGGGAGCTCTGCCCTCACACAGACTTGGCTGCCTGTCCCAGTCACTGGTCCCCAGCTCTGACGTGAGCCCTTTGAGCTGGTCGGCAGCTCCGTGACGGGTGTGAGTGACATGGCCAAGCAGCTGTCTGAAGAGCAGGTGGCCGAGTTCAAGGCGGCTTTCTCCAGATTTGACAAGAACGGCGATGGCACCATCAACACCCAGGAGCTGGGTGCCGTGATGCAGGCCCTGGGCAAGGATCTGTCGGAGGCCGAGCTGAAGGAGTTCATCGCCCAGGTGGACACGGATGGTGACGGTGTCATCAGCTTCCAGGAGTTCCTGGCAGAGGTGGTCAAGAGGATGAAGTCCTGGGGCAGTGAGCAGGACATGCAGGAGGTCTTCCGCACCTTCGACCTGGATGGCAACGGCCGCATCAGTGTGGACGAGCTCAAGCAGGCCATGGCCAAGCTGGGCCAGACGCTGTCCCAGGAGGAACTAGATGCCATGATCCAGGAGGCCGACACAGACAAGGATGGGCAGGTGGACTACAAGGAGTTCCTGCGCATCCTCTCCCAGAAGTGAGGCCTGGCCCTGGCCTGTCTCCTGCCTGACTCTGGTCCTCATGCCTTCTCGGGGCCCCTGCTTTTGTGGTGGGGACATCAAGGGGAAGTCTGGGTGGTGGATGGGAGATTACCTGTTGGTGGGAAAGCCTGGCCTCTCCTGGGCCTGGGTTCTGTGCTCTCTGTGCCCAGCGAGGCCTTAGAGCTGCTCCTGCAGAGAGATGGGGAGCCCCCTGCCTCACTGGGCGGTCGTGAGGAAACCCAAAACAATGTGGTGGTTGAAATAAAAGGAATGTGAACTCCAAGGTTGGTGTGTGCTGGTGCTTGAATGTTTGGTTGGAAAGTGGAAAATCAAAGGCTCCAGACGGTGGTATTTGGGTTTCTTTTGCACCTCTGCCCCTTTCCCTGTGCCCGAGTGGGAGAACCGACCTGGGTAGGCCAGACGGTTCTCCTCCAGCGTCTCCCGGATGCCTGAGGAGAACAGGTGCGGGACGGGTGTGTCGGGCTGGGAGAGGACACAAGAGGCACGTTTCTTTGGCTCGAGGTTCTGCCTGAGCTCCTGGGTCCAGACCGGAGGCTGGAGGCCAGAGCCTGGGACTGAGACACTCTCTACACCACAAACAAAGTTACCATCCTTTGCACCATCCTCGTCCTCTGCTGCCCCCAACCCCATTCAAACTGGGGTTTGTGGCATTGCAGTGTGGTTCCCCAAAATCAGACCCACTGGAGGCTGCTCGTCACAGTTTTCAAGGCTCCCTTCCTTGTCCTGGTTCTCAGAGATGGCTTAATCCAAGGTCACCCTGCACGGGAGGAAACCGAGGCCAAGGATGGTGTCGGATTGAAATCCCAGGGCTGTAGGGGAGGCAGAACAAGCCTGGGGCCTCAGGATTCGGAAAACACACATGGTTTTCCAGCATAGTCTTCAACCAGCTGTGCGGCCCTGGGTGTCCTGTGATGGTGGGCTTCTGCTTCCGCCTTCGTGAAATGAGTTTTTCTTTTGCTTTTGGCAGTGACTGACTTTATCTTTTCCTAGTTGTGCCAAGTCAGTGGTTCTCAGCTAAGGGTGGGGAGACAGAGCCAGCTTCCCTGGGGGGTTATTGCAAAATACCAGCACCCGCCCTTTCCCGCCTGCCCCTCATTCCGGCACGGGTGGAGGTGAGTGGCAGAGCCTGTCCAGCCAAACCCCAGTGTGGGGGGCAGGGCCAGGTCACCAAGGGGGGGCTGTGGCTCAGATGAGGTCTTTCTGTTTTCTTCTCTCCCATTTGACATCGTCGGTGGGTCATTCCAGTCTCCCATGACCCTCACACGCTGCTGTCTCCTTCTTCCCAGCCCTGTCCTCAGACTGAGTCCCCAAGTACGGCCAGGCCCCCTCCAAAGCCTAGCAGGTGTCAGACACAGCCTGGCAGCTCCTGCCCGGGGTTGAGGGCTGGGAGGCCCGGTGGGCTGGGCGGGGGGCGGGCTCTGAGGCAGGGAAGGAGTCTCATATCCCCTGAGGTTCTGAGGGAGGCAGGGGATGGGCCAGGGAGCAAGATGACAGAAGTGTGGGATCTGGGGGAGGTTCGGATGTGGCAATAAAGAGATGGGACAAAGGCAGCAAACAGACCTGGTGTGGTGAGGGAAGGAGTGGCAGAAATACTCTCTGGGTCCAGGACGGGGGGTGGTTCTCTCCAGAAAGTCCCTGTCCCCTTCCAGACGTAGTCACAGAGGTCTGAGTTTCTAAATGAGTGAGTCCTAAATGCCAAGCTGGCCCAAGGTGAAGGTTTCCAGGCTCTGTGTGGAAACAGGAAAAATAAAGAATTTTTCGACTAGCCTAAATGTATGCCGTGTTTAAAATTCTGAGAACACGCTCTGTCTGTATTTTCCATGTTAAATGTCCTTTCTTCCATGAAGCCACCGTGATGGCAGGGGATATTTTTGTGGGATTTTTTTTTCATGTTCTTACTCGGAAAAATGAAGAGTCCTTACAAAGTGCCCCAAATGAATGTGGGTATTTCACTGTCCCACAGCCCCAGACATCTGAGAACTGCTGCTGGAGTGGATGGAGTGTAAAGTCGATTTTCTTTCTTTAAAAAAAAACAAAACAAAAAAACACCTTTTCTTCCCTGACTTTGAAGAAATATGTGGCTCATGCATGGGAATAGTAAACTCCCACCGTCAACAGTGAGCGCACGTTCAGGACTGGTGTTTGCATGGGAGCAGGGGCCAAGGGGCCAGGAGGCCGTCCATTGACGCCTTCCTGTGGCACTCCGCAAGCTGGCTACAAGCTACGGGGCCGTTCTGATCTCCGTGTTTTCGTATGTCTATGGCGTGCTCTGCTCAACATCATGTACGCGGCACTAGAAAGATTGGAACTAGCAGAGGGAAGGGGAGAAATGAGGCCCTGGCAGCCCCGGGGGGCTAGGAGATGGGGCATCTGAGGCTGTTCACTCAGGAGCTGTTCCTGAAAAGGGTGTGCTGGGCCACAGGGCAGGAACAGAGCAGCAGAAACCTCTCTTTATCTGTTGCCCCAGGAGGACAAACGGGGAATCTGAGGGTCTGGGAAAGGAAGTGACTCACTTCAGGTCTCCAATGAGAGACAGATGTGTGTGGACTTTGAGGCTTCAGAGGCTGCCCCCTCCAGCAGTGCCTCATCCCCCACGCCCCCGCAGTCTTCCACCCTGAGACCCTGGTGGCCCTGCCCCAAGGAGGAAGGACCCCTTGGGCATGGGGGGTCTGGTGGAGAGAGTTGGTCAGGAGCCACAGGGTGGAGAATCTTCTGGAAGGCAACAATCCTAGTGACCTTCTCGCTGCACCTGGCACCTGGGAGATAAACAGAAACAGCCTCAGCAGTGACTCCAAATCTCCTGGAGGACTTTGGAGGGTGGGGTCCAAGTTCGGGAAGCTACCCTGCCCCAATCTAGAGCTCTGGGGAGGACTGGAAGGAGCGCGAGAAGCGTCCCCAGAGCCAACACAGCTCGAGGTGACTTCAGGGAAAGTCAGTTCTCTGAAAATCAGTTTGCCAAGACTGATTCTGCCAATGGCCGATTTGCTGGTTATTTCCCAATTTACAAAAAAAAAAAAAAAAAAAAAATTGTAAAAACACTTTATGAGGATTACAGAGATTCATATTGGAAGAGACGGTTTAAGACCTTTTTGAGTATTTCTCTGGAGTTTTCCTCACCCGGTTGAAAGTTTTAGCTTTGTTGTGTTGTTCTGGCTTGGTCATTTATCTTAGTCAGTTCACCTGAACCTCTCACCCCACCACCCGACTAAGATGAACGTTCTCTGCGTTCTGTTCTTGGTTTGCTCTTGTGTTTGTTTTCGTCCATTGAGTCTATGATTTGGAGGAAGGAGAACGGAGTCACTTAGAGATGGAGTAGAGCAAGACTCCAGTGTCAAGGATCTTGTGGACTATAGATCAGGCAGGTCTCTCTCTTCTAACAGATTTTCAGTAGAGCCTGTTGCTTTAATTCACAGATGTATAAACTGGCTCAGTGAGACAGATTTTGCATGTGTTCTAGGTGTATTTGGTAAAGGCTCGGTGTCTGAAATAGGAATCACCCACGAAACTGACATTTAGCTGAGCAGAACTAAACTGATAAGTCTACTGGGGGAAACCAGCTTTGGTGAAAGCAAAACTAATCTGAACTGAAGCAAAATTCTCGCCAAATCCTTCAAGATATTAATCAGGACATTGATTTTAGATGAATTACTCTACTTCCAGTCAAAACAGATATTTCAAATTCCATGTACTAAGTAATACATTTTCTTCATTGAATTGCCCCTGGATTTTTAAAAATCCTAATTTATATCTATTTCTGGCAGGCATTTCTTTTAAGGTCCATATCAAAAGCCTGCTCCTTCAGGAAGCCTTCCAGAACAGGGTGGTGGATCCTCCACACACACATTGGAATGACTGACTTTCTCTTTGTGCCATTCTCATCCAAGTGCATCTTATATTATAGCTCCTTGTGAATAAGGGCTAGTCTTCTTCCTCAGAACCCCAAATAATAATATAAACTCATCCACATTCACAATGGATCGTGAACTCCTTGAGCGCAAGATGTGTGGACCCCAGGAGTGTGGCTGATCGATCGCAAACCCTCCCCGCATCGCTCTGGATGCTGGGTGACCGGGCGGGGTCCTTCCCCCACGAGGCCTCACCTCTACCCCCAAGCGATGGCTTCCATGGTGCCCACTGGATTGAGGGGGGGTCTCTGCAATGTCTACTCAACAGGAAGAGAGAAGACCCGGAGTGACTGAGCGAGAGGGCACCTCTCTGCTGCCCCATCCTCTATGCACAGGATATAAAATTCCAGCAGTCCTGGATTAGCCAGGGTGACCCAGAGACACAGCACCGATGGGACGTGTAGAGGGTTGTAAGAGGAGCTTTATTATAGGAATTGGCTCACGTGATTATGGTGGCCCAGAAGTCCCACAATCCACGGGGTCATTCAGCCTGAGTCCAGAAGCCCAAGATCCAGGGGGGCCCATGTCCCAGCTCAAGAGCAGGGAGCAAATTCACCCTTCTTCCACGTTTTTGTTCTATCCGAGCCCTGGATGGGCTGGTTGGTGCCCCCCACACTGGGGAGGGCCACCTGCTTTCACCAACTCCCCTCATACACACCCAGAAACAACATTTTACCAGCCATCTGGGTGTCCCTCGGTCCAGCCAAGTTACCAAAAACAAACCGTCACAAGCTCACTCGCTCCCGGTATGGAAACAGGGAGGGTCCAGGCCATGTATGTCATAGGACAGAGATGTAGATGTCAGGCCATTGTACCAGTTTTTAGGATTTCAGATCAATGCTCTTCACAGGGCACCATCCCCTCTGCCACCCAGGGTACAGGGCTTGTATGGTCCCGATTCTCAGGAAAAAAATCTAGATAGGACACCTCATCCCATTTTTCTCTGTAAACTAGTCCAGGTTTGAGTTTGAGGGTCCACAGTGAGGCTGCCATACCCCTCATTCACTGGGACTGCTCGGTTACCCTCTGAGGGAGCAGAGCCGGCCTCTCCCAGCCACCACCCACCCACACAGGAGCTCCCCTGCTCCTCCTGCCCTTCTCTCTGGTTTTACTCTATCTGGGAAAGCACCCAGACGTTCCATTCTGCAAGCTCCTTCTTGCTCATCTACACTTGTTTACCATCTTAGGGTGCTCTCATCTACTGCAGATGGCCCTCATGCCCAAGGCACTGGCACCCGCTTTGCATCTCACCTCTACTGGTCCAGCCTGTGCCTGCCCTTTTTTTTTTTTTTTAATTGTATTTATTTATTTGACACACAGAGAGAGAACACAAGGAGGGGGAGCGGTAGGCAGAGGGAGAGGGAGAAGCAGGCTCCCTGCTGAGCAAGGAGCCCGAAATCATGACCTGAGCTGAAGGTAGACGCTTAACCAACTGAGCCACCCAGGCGCCCCTGCACCTGCCCTTTGCTGAAACCCAGCAATTCCTCCCTCAACCAAACGATTGATGTACCCGAGAGCTGCTGAAAAAGGCCATGCATGGATCCCCCAGTGTTCTGACCTCCAGATGGTCTGAGGAGACCCTGATGTTCAGACCCCTCAGTTGGTCTGGGGGGCCCTGATGATCTGACCCCCAATTGGTCCAGGGGTCCTCCAGTGTTCTGACCCTGCAGTTGGTCTGGGGACACCCTGATGTTCTGACCCTCAGGGGCCCCCCCAGTGTTCTGACCCCTCAGTTGGTCTGGGGGACCCTGGTGTTCTGACCCTCCAGTTGGTCTGAGGGGACCTGATGTTTTGACCCCACAGTTGGCCTGGGGAGACCCTGATGTTTTGACCCCCAGTTGGTCGGGGGAGACCCTGATGATCTGACCCTCCAGTTGGCGTAGGGGCTCCCCAATGTTCTGACCTCCCCAACTGGTCTGGCAGACCCTGATGTTCTGACCCCCCTGTTGGTGCAGGACCTCAGGCTTGACCAACTATTTTACGCTCCCAAGTGCTTATGTGGCGGAGATTGAGAAGCCAAGAGTAACTGCTCCAGCCTGTCCCTGGAAACCATGACTCTACCAGGTGCCCACACCCCCAACTCTTCCTTTGCTCCACCGGGCAGATGGGCACGGCCTGTGGAGAGGAATCTGGGGGAGTAGGCACTCGTCTCTACAGGTCTCCACGGTGGGACGCTGCTGGTTGCACAAGTCAAGTCTGAGTCATTCTGTTTGGGAACAGATGGTGCTCTGCTTGGTGACCTGCCAGCCCCAATACCCACCCTGCCACCCAGAGGCGCAGGGTGCCAGGAACTTCACCAGTCTCCTGGAGGAGCCGTGTTTCCCTGCACCCAGAGCGTTCTGGTCGTGACAGCATGCTGGCGGCGGCAGTGATGTCCATCCCTCCGTCCATTCATTCATTCTGCAGTGTCCTCTTGAGCCACCCACCTTATTATGGGTCTGTGAGGACATGGAGGGAAATGTCACACCGGCCTCTGCCCTCTAAGGGAGGTGAGATGTAGGTGTGAACAACCACATGCAAAGACAGTGGGTGGCAGGTGCCTCATCAATGGATTCCAGTGTCATGAGCGTGCGCAGCGAAGGGTAGAGACTCAGAGGTGGTGTCGGGCTGGGCCTGGGAGGTGGGGGAAGCGTCCAACAGGTGGGAGAACGTTCTTGGCAGAGGAACTGTGAGACTAGAAGTGGGGACAGGGCGCCTGGGTGGCTCAGTTGGTTAAGCGACTGCCTTCGGCTTGGGTCGTGATCCTGGAGTCCCGGGATCGAGTCCCGCATCGGGCTCC